TTAAAAAATTCATCAAAAATACAACTGTTAAGGGTTTTCATTAGTTGGTGTGTTTGAAAGCAGAATGTAAGTATGTTACATCAAATCCGAAGAAATACACCTCCATAGTGGAAATCGAACCCTCCAGTCTGACAGTAGAACACTAACAACTATCCTAATGGATGTACACAAGATTTTTCCTTAAAAAATATGTTTTTGACATTTCTGGAATAGAAGTGAATTTAAAATTGCTCCGGCTCCAAAATTGGTACAATTGTACTTTTTTAGAGATTACAACCAGACAGACAATCTCTAAAAACATATTTATGATTACTGTTTTATCCTATCGCTAAAATGCAATTTTTAATAGACATTTAAAATACTTTACTAGACTTTGGACTTATCTATGGTCTAGTCTATAGAATAGAACCTCTATGAATTAGTCTAGACTAGTCTATTATCTAGTGTTCCGAGTAGGATATTGTCTAGACTAGTTCCTATGAGCACTAGTCTGTGAATTAGTCTAGTTTAAAAATAATAAATTTAAAAGCCCAACAGTTCCTATATTGATTAGTTCACTGAAATTTGGTACAATCGGAATCAAAAAAGTACAATTATGGATGCTATTTTGTAGAATATTGCTGGCAGGAGATAATACGCTGAACGAGGGGTATTATCTCAAGCCAGTAGTGATTGATTACCAATATAATTTGAATTCGAATAGCGTCAAAATTTATATGTGTAAATATAGAAAAATCGCTATATTTGCTACATTGTGGTTTATTATTGTTATAGTTTTTCACTAAACTTAACCAACCACAATACTTGTAATGTAATATGTAGTATTTTATAAAAAAAATTGTTTATAATTTTTCTATAGAAAAAAATAAACAAAGATTTGTATTGTCAATAACCTTTCTTGGTAAAAATAATAAATAATAGCAAATATCTTATAGGTATTTCTTGTTATTGTTTATAAAAATATAATAACAACTCACCCTGAGACATCATCATCGTCATCATTGTTAGCAGCGTCATTATTCCTATAGACATCATCATGAGGACCGGTTAAATCTAATGATTTTGTTGCTGCAACGTGTATTTTATTATTAGCCGCCATTGTATCGCGTGTGTTAATTTCACTGCTACTAAAAGCGCTAACGCCGCTGCTACCGGCAATGTTACTGTTGCTGCTGCTATTGGTAGTATTTATATTGTTGTTATCGTTGCTATTATCACATTCTTCATTGTTTTGCTGTTGCTGTTCTTTTTCTTTTCTGCTGCTTAATAAAACGAAATCATTTGGCCAAACACGTAATTTCCTACGAACATTTGACATTTTTTATTGCAATTTCTTTTCTTTCAAATATTTTATTTTTTTGCTAATATAATATATTTCGTACTTTTTTTTATTTAACTAGCATGTACAGCACTTTATTTTTTTTTTTATTTTGTATTATTCGATAAATACTTTTATTTAACATGAAATTCACTTAATTTTGTTATAATTCACTTTAGATTTAGCACACGTGTATATTTTTTTAAAATATTTGTTATTTAAAATTATACAATGGTGAAATTTTTCATTTATTTTTTTTTTACTTTTTCGTTTTCTTTTATTTCCAAAATCACTTAATTCACCAACCCGTCACTTAACCATTTCGTATCCAAAGTATAGCAGCTACTAAAGCCATGTTAAGACGTTACTAAATTGTTGTTTTTTCTTCATGTTTATTCTTTTAGTATAACAGCTGATTGCTGAAGAGAGGGAATTGAAGAAATAAAGTAAAGAGAAAGAGATTTTTAGTTATTTAATACAGGGTGTTTAAGATAATTTTATAAACTTGTTAAATTGACAGTTAATTTTAAATATAAATTTAATTTAATTAAAATTATTAAAAAATAAATTTAACAAATTTTAAGGCTACTCGAAAATGATGACGAAATCTTGAGTCGATTACGATTTTTTAAATACAGTGGAGTAGGGATAATACGAACTCCCAAAATTTTACATTAGTGACTCTAAATAATGAACAACGCAAGCATCTATAAAGACAATTTAATTACTCTTCAAAATTGGGTAATAACACCAAAATAACATGAACTTTCATATCCGTCCGTACATTTGAACCTGGTAATAAAAGTTCAGAATATGGCTTTGGAGCCTATAATTATATTAAAAAATATGTTTAAATTTAATGAGTATAGAATCTATATCTATAGATCCATATTTGACCATACAATTTTTGTATGGGGGATTGTGGACGTTGGAATTAAATCTTTTTACATTGAAAGGGGCAGGAAGTACTACCGCAGGAATGGAATTTTCTAGCTAAAAGATATCCTGTTCTTTTATCATCAATTAGCTTAGACGATATAAGTATTATCGTTTAAATAATTTCTATATTATTCAATTATCATCGTTTTTTAACGGCAAAGTTACCAAATGTTTAATTAGCTGTATGATATAGTACGCCATCTTGAAACCAATTCTTATCCAAGTGCATATCCTTTCAGTTTATAAAAAGAAAGTGATTCAATCGACAACTGTCACCGATAAGTACCTTCCTTAAATAGCAAACTTCTTCAGAGATTTGGACCTTGAAGATATCCTGTACTTTTATCATCAATTAGCTTAGACGATATAAGTATTAGCGTTTAAATAGTTTCTATATTATTCAATTAGCATCGCTTTTTAACGGTAAAGTTACCAAATGTTTAATTAGCTGTATGATATAGTACGCCATCTTGAAACCAATTCTTATCCAAGTGCAAATCCTTTCAGTTTATAAAAAAGAAACTAATCATGGTAGTGCATATTGATGACGTATTGATCTTTATGCACGACAAAGTTGTTCAAGCTTGAAATGACTCCGTTTATCAGCGTCAAAGTAATATATGGGTCATTTTGTTCAAGCTTGAAACGACTCCGTTTATCAGCGTCAAAGTAATATATGGGTCATTTCGTGTCAAGTGACCCAACTTTCAAAATCGATGTCTTCCGATTTTAAGGCTAGTACTTTTGGACAGTAGGCCAGACACAAATTTTCAGCGCTATCGACCTTAATAGGGGTCAAAGTTGGACATTTTGATCATTCAAATGAGTGTAACTTTTCACCTATTGTTCCTAGCAAAAATTGTCTAAAGAAGTTCAGATAGCTATTTTTTCATTGTTTTCAACTAACCTTGGTGCAAATTTCATCAAAATCGGAAGACATCGATTTTAAAAGTTGGGCCACTTGACACGAAATTGCCCATATACAATATATAGCAAAGATCTTTGATTATTTAAATTCTCCTTTTTTATATGAAAAACCATACATATTTTAACTCAGAATAATAATTGTTTCAGTTTATTAAAGAAATATGAACAAGATTTGAGATTAAGCCGATTTATTATCAAAAAAATATGCATAAATCAAAACACATCCGTTGCAAAAAATATATGTACAAACTTTGCTTTTAATATATAACTTGACATCCGTATTTTGTTTAAATATCAATTGAATTTCCTGCAATACTCGTATAATAATAGCGTACGCTTTCATTTGAAACATATTTTTATTATATCTAAAACAAGGCGGAGCTAAAAGAAGAACTTGTGATGTAAAGCAGTAGATAATTATATCAACTACTTATTACAACCCTTAATAAGGAATTAATTGTTTAATAAGTACAAATTTTTGGTAAAGAAATACACTGTTAAAAATATTGTTGCCTAGAAAATATCTCAGATAGATATTTTACACTAATAGCAAAATGTTTTAAATAGATATTTTATGAAAATATCTATGGTAATTTGATTCGTACAAAAAATTGGGATTTTGAACATTTTAGATTTTATCGAAAATCGGAGAGGATGATTTTAAAATGTAAAGAATTTGGAAATTTTAGATAAGTTTAAACTTCGTATTTGCCGAGTTTCATAAAAACGAAACCTGGAAAGGTACGAAACGTGTTTTTTGAAACCAACCTATACTAAATCACTGCTTATAAGTGGTCCTGTTAAATGGCTTTGGACGTTTATAGACCGTCATAGATATCTGATATATCATAATTTTGTATAAGTACATTATTCATTAATCAATTTAATTATCTCAGTGTAATTTTAATATGTGGCACGCGTTAGGGGTTGTTTACTCCTAAAGCGTGTCATTGGCCAATAGGAAAGCAAACATATCCTTAACAAACATAACTCTCACTTTAAAATAAACAGGTGACGATACAGCAATACTTCACATAAAACAACCACCACCAACTATCGGCTCCTCTCGTTTCTCTTATTCACATTTTTTCCTTCTGTAGTTTAAAATTTTTTATTATGAAGGATATTTTTATAAGGCATGAAATTTGATAGTCATATTTAACGTTAGTTTGTCTACTCCAAAGAATTTTTTTGCATTTGGTTTTGGGGACTAAAAGCATAGAGGAAACACACAGGACGAACTGTTATAGTTTGAGAGAATTAATGAACAAAAAAAAAAAAGACTCAACACAAGAAAACACGTTGAAAAATGTTCACCAATACCAATAGTGATAGTTGTGGTTATATTAACAAGCATTGCTTGACCACTCTAATAACAAGGATAATAAGGATAATTTACGCATTGTTGCTTCAGACATTAGTGAAGGAGGGTGTCAGTCTCACTTGTTATCAGCTCGGCTTTGGTCATAATTGTAAATTTAAAATTTTGTAAGAGAGTATACGTGCGTTTAGTTTTCGGTTAAACGGAAGTTAAAGGAGTACGTTATTAAAACAAAAGGATACTTCTGCAAATTAATTCTTACGAAAAAAAAAAAAAAACAATTTACTACCCGTTAATCATACTATTATTATAAAGCTTACAAACTACTCCTACAAATCATTCAACACTGTTAACTCTAACTAAACGGACGTGTGTCCAGACGTAAAACACGGAAATAAATTAATTTCCTTTAAAAAAAATAAAATAAAAAAATGTTACCTTTAAATACTCCAAATACAAATAATAATGAAGGACATTTTATAAACAGCTCCACAAATGTGGCCGGAAAAACTCAAATACGTCCCTCCTCGCCGCGACAATTTTTCGCTCGAATTTACGGTCATCTTGAAAATAACAGTAGTAATAATAATCGTCCTCACACTAGCGGTGACAATGTAACTCCCATTACCACAATATCGAATTTAAGATCGAATGATGTTGTCACCTCATTCACGCATTTACCTCAATCGGCTTCACCAATATGTGATACAAGTTATCAAAGTGATGGCGCTAGCACCTCGTCACCTGATATTTCAATAAGTGATGAAAGGTGTGTTTTTTAGTGTTCTGTGATTGATTTTGTGCATTTAAAAAATATTTGAAAATTTTTTAAAATTTTATTATATTTCCCTTTCCCTTAGAGTGGATAATAATTGTGTGTCCTTTAATGCTTCATGTACATCTCAGGATTACAGCAAACCGGATTTAAATAATGTTCTATCTTCGTCTTTTGTCGGATTACCATTTGGATTTCCAAGTGAAACTCCATTTTCGGCGGGATTGACGGCATTTTGTAAGTAGAAAAGTTAATGTTAAAATAAAGTTTTTTTTTTTAATATTTATTGAAAATTATATAAATTATATATCTAAAAAAGTTTAAATGCTAAAGAATCTAGGGAAAACATCAGATTAGAAAAATGTCACATAACCTAAAAACTAAATTTTTATTACCTTTGCTAAGAAAAATATCACAAAAATTTGAGAAATAAAACAATTTTTTAATGTAAAGAGTTATATTCTTAACATAAAGCAAATTACATAAATACTTCTAAAGGATTACACAGGTCAACAAAATTTAAAAAAAAATCAAAACCCAGAGAGCAAAATATATTTTTTAGAGGATTGAGATCCGAACCGAATGTAATACAACCGATTTTAAAATCGACTGATTGGACTTTCAGACAACATAACACATTTTATAAATAAAGATATCTTCACGCTGTTATAAGGATTCAAATATGACCCAAAAAGGATTTTTTTATTGATCTATTCGATAACTCGAAAACTTGATGTATTAAAAAAAACATATACCTTGATCTCTGGATTAAAAATTTATTGGCCTATGTTATTAATCTAATAACAAGATATGTAGATGGGAGGCAAACTACACCAAGTCAAAATTTCGGAATTTTACTAAAACATTTTGTCGATAAAACTATCCTATCGATAGATGTAAAAAATCTGATCCCGACAGTATAAAAAAAACATATTTTGACATAAAAATTTTAATCGGCATAGTTTACCTCCCACCTACAGATATAATAAATTTTAATAACATTTATAATATGTACATATTAATAAAAAAAAACTATTTCCCCTTATCTTTATCGGTTGATTCTGCTTCAGTCGTATTTTTACTTTGTTCCAAATTATATTGAATATTCTTTAATTCAATGGCTAAAAACATTTTTAAATTGGGATCTTGAATTTTATTAAGAACTAATTGGCGTGCTTGATCACAATTTCCATCCATTAATTTTGCCACTGTCTCAGCATATTCGATCCAAACACAATTTGCACAGCCAGACATACAGCATGTTGTAGGTTCGGGAGGCAGCTAAAGAAAAATTAAAGAAGAAATATTACACAAATATTCTGCACTAAGTAATATATATGTATATATTTTGAGATAATCCATTCAGGGTCGATCATAGGTATTATGCTCTGACTGCAAAACAATGCAAAAATCTAATTTAACTAAGCTGTATATCAATGTATGTTGTTCGGATTTAGAACATTTAGAAATCATACTTTCTCTTCTTAAAAATGTCTGATATTTTGAAATAATTCACCCGCCACTATTTTCTGTAATAAGAAGAATTTTAAATTTTTAAGAAGTGGATTCGGACGTACTTTAGAATCACAATTCCATGAAATTTGATATACATATTATGTTTGACCCTGGGTCGAACCCTAGAGATTTTAGTTAGAATCGCACCCATACAACTGCATCTCGGAATTTCTATTAAACACTCATAAATATAGTGAAGGGTATCGTGGTGAAACTTGGCATAAATAAGTTTTATATGACATCTTTACCAAGTGTTATGAAGATCGGCCCATATTTAACCCCAAGCCCCATATAAACATTATTTCAGATAATCAGTCTAGCGTCCATTAAATACTCAAACATAGCCTTATTATGATAAAATCGGAAAATTCCGTAGGGTTTGTTTAAAAGTTCAATATAATACAAATCTTTTAGAAGAAACTTAAGATCCTATTTCATTAAGGATGATCGGGCATGGCCGACCACATGATATCCTACTCCAATAAATATGTTAAAATTGTGCATTATTTTTTTGTAATGAAGCATTTAAGATGTTTTTTCCCTTAATTATTTTGATTACAAAAAAGCGGTTGGGGGCCAGAGGTAGATATGTACCAATCCTTATAAATTTTGGTAGAGGGATTTAGATTTACATAAAAGTTATTTAGGCAGAATTTCGTAGTAATACTAGTGCATATGAGTGAATTTTTGACTTCATTTTGAATATCAATTTCTCATATCTTTACCAAAATTTAAGGAGATCGGTAAATTTTTAACTCCAAGGCACATATAAACATTCCTTCAGAAAGCCAGTTTGGTGTTCATTAGACACTCGGATATTCTGTATTTGTTTAAACGTTCAATAATCTACCCTCTTCTAATAACTAGCAGGTGTAGGGTATCATACAGATCTTTCAGAAAGAACTTAATATCTCATAGGAACTTAATCATCAATGAGAACAAGTAGGAATCTTTATTCGGGCATGGCCGTTCGCATGATACCCTACATCAATAAGTATGTTTAAAATGTGCTTCATTTTTGATAATGAAGCATTTAAGATGGTTTTTTACCTTAATTCTGAATTATTTTGATAACAAACAATTTTCTGAAAGAGGGGTTATACGAGGGCAAGGGTTAAATATGGGCCTATCCTCACAAATTTTGGTAGAGGGATTTACGCTTACATAAAATGTATTTATGCAGTATTTCGTCGTGTTTATGAGTGAATTATATAATACTTTCATGTACTAGGGTCAAATGTTGCCCGATCATTACGAAAATTGGCAGTATCATTTAAACTTATGTATATGTAGATACTACCACCACATTTAACATAATTATGATCTCCAATGCTATATTAAGGGGTACGGTTATATAGGGGCTAGATGAAATTATTAACTGATTTCAACCATTTTTAATAGACCTTGAAGATAATAGTATATTTTGTGTGACAAACATCAGCACAAACTATAATACTTCCTACTATAGTGGTATAATTATCTTTAAGAATTACTTCTCGAGATTAAATCGAAGACAATGAATTTAAAAAATGCATAAGATAATCATTTTTTAAGAAGAAATTTGAGCGTTAATTATTGCGAAAATTTAACACCGTTGCACAGTGGGGCAGAATGGAAAATTTTTGGAAATAAATCTGGCATTTCTAAACGGCTAATCCGATCGGGATAAAATTTGGCGTGAGCGTAGCCAAGGAGTATTCGAGTTTAAGTTTTGAAGATGAACCCTGCAGATGCCCCAGGGACGGCGCTGTGGCGGCTCAAAGTAGGGTACCTACGACATGTAAAATTTTTAAACTCGTGCCATTTTTTTGTTTTTCACCCAAATACAAAGATTTTTATATTTTGTGAAAGCGCTCGACGAGATCTTGAAAAAACATGCTTGGACATACTACTTATCTCTTATAATATCCGAGTTATAGGCATTTAAAAATTTAGTGATACAAAATTTACCATACCTTGGTCCACCTTTTTTTGAATACCGGGCGTAATTTTGGACCAAATGGACTCAATTTTTTCTTGTTAGTTAGACAACAAAATTTCCAATAATATACAAAAAATTTCAGATCAATATTGTTTACAGATCCAAAAATATACGTTTTTTAATTTAAAAATTCAAAAAATTTTAGATTTTTGGCGTTTTTTTTGCCAAAAATGTATCTTAACTCTTTTATTAATAAAATAAAATTTTTATTAAGAACATATAACAATTTTATAGTTTTCTAAAAGGTATCTTTACGCAGAACGCTTTGGCGTAAAAAACTTGTCCTATTTTTTGAAAATGTTGCCACTGCGTCCTTCCGAATATGACCTATTTTTTATCAAAACTTCAACTTTGGGCGACATGTTCTAAAATCCCAAAGCTGGGATCAGAAAACTGAAAGCAGTTTTGGAAACCTCAATATATTTTCTATTTACTCCAAAAGTATTTTCCCAGCCCTGAAAGAAATGTGGACCCTATGGGCAAAAAAGTAAAAAATCCCATTTTTGGGATTTTCATTCCTATTTTTGGGAATTGCGGGATGCCCTTTGACCTTTTCAATTTTTTTTTGCATATTCTTATTTGAAATGACAAATTTAACAAGCGTTGAAAATTTCATTGAGTTTTGTTCATAAATAAAGATTTTGTCATATATTACATATTTGTTTAATTTCTAAAACTATGATTTATATCAAAATTTTAATAGGATCGCAGATAGCTACAACAATTTAGTCCATATTTATCCCTTAATATCATTTTTTAGTTAGATATGGAAATTCTCGACCCTTTACAAAAAATTTCAAGCCAATATCTCAATTACATTCAAAAATATGTTCATTTAAACCTGTGTCCTTTAATTTCATCTTTTTCATATTTTAGTATTAAGTATGACAGCACATATTTAAATCTTATATTTACCTATTTTCTATTTGTTTGCTTATCTTTATAATTGAAAGGTCCTATTATGCTTAAATTTTCAAAAATTTATAACTATTTTTTACCTAAATTTTTTCGACAGATCATTTCGTTCTGTTTCGTTTATGATCATGTAGGTAAAAATATACAGGTAATGATAATTTCGATTCATTCACTAATAAGAAATATCAATGACTGAATTACAGGTTATAGTAATATAGTCCTAAATGTTAATAGGTAGACAATTCGTAATTTTTTACTTTGGAATACCTGTATCGGAAATGACAAGAATTGGTATATAAGTAAACTTCTCAGATTTTAAGTACCATATTTAATAAATCTACAATGAAGATTACATTAAAGTACGAAGAGTTGTGTTCCGTTTTATGGAGTATATCTTCAAAAGGGCCAGAAAGAATTGAAGACATTTCAAATTATATAAAAACTACATATAGTAGAAAAGTAGACAAAACAGGCATATCAAAAATTGAAAACTTTTTAAAACTTTTTGATGTAAAAAGTAAGTCTGTGGATGGAAATCAAAAGAAATTTCGATTAAAATTTTGTAGTTGGATGGAAACTACTACGGAAATCTCAACTTACAACACATCAACAGGAGCGCCTTGCAAGTCATACGAAGACTTATGTTCAAGGTAAAAAAAAAGAGGGTCACACAAAAACTTTTTTCAATCTCAAATGAGGAAATTGCTGATACATTTAACGAAATGCTGAAAAAGGAAAACCAACATATGGATGTCGTACATATTGCAACTATTCTTCCTAATGCATCACCAAAACGACTTAAGCGAATTGTGGAAAGTATACCAAC